GGAGATTTAAATCTCTTGAAGCCACAGAAATGGAGGAGGATAGCTTGGAATCCAGGCGTTCGCCAAGCACATCATAAATATCCTTTCCTCAACATCTTCTGGGGATGATAGAGATTACAGACGTCCCCTTAACACCCCCCCCCCACCTCATCCCTTCCTATCTATCATCCTATTCAAATGGATCTTGACCTCAGGCCATGAAACATAAGAGCCTCTCTATACCCAGGTGCACAAGAAGTATTATCTGGCACTTCCTCCAGGGGCCCCAGTCAGCATAGGAGGTGCACAGGGACTCCAAAGGTCAGGCCTGAGTTCAAATCCCGCTGCACCCCCCCAAATTGCCTGATCAACTGGCTCTGATGGGGACACAAATGAGAGAAATCAGCCTGGGGTAGGAGAAATGACCCCTTACCGTGAGCTTCCAAGTTTGGGTAACTGGGCTCATGGCCACCTGGTGATAGAAGTACGCTCAGTGGAGGAGCCCCTCCATTATCCCCAGCCAGCTGAGTTCTGGGTCTACTTGGGACTCACTTTTCTGGTCAGAATGGAAGGAGAAGGCAGCTGAATCCCATCCCCCAGGGGGCACATGCTTCTCTCTGAGCGATGAGGGCTGCTTTCTTGGTTAGAGGTTTCTAAAACTTTGAGTGGCCTTGCAGATCCACCAACTCATTGGTAAGAATGGCCATCTCGCAGCAGAGAGGGACCACTTCAACTGAGGATGACTGGCCCAGGTGAAAGCAGCACCTTACTAAATTCCCACTGGAAGGAAAGGAGGGAGGAAGAAAGGAAGGAAGGAACAAAGAATGGGAGGGAGAAATGAAGGAAGAAAGGAAGGAAGGGGGAAAGGAAGAAAGAAGGAAACATTTGGTCCTAACTGCAGCTGTCACCAAGTAAGCACGTACTATGGGCCAGGCATCATATTCTGCTACTACTATTATCCCCATTTTACAGATAAGCAAACTGTAGATCAGAGAAATTGACTAACATGTCCAAAGTTAGAAAGATAGAAAAATAGCAGAACCTAAATTTGAACCCGTGGCAGTCTGGTTCCCGGGAGTGTACCCATTTCACTAGCTGCCCTGCTGCCCTTACCTAGGCCTCCCTCCAGTCTGTGAGGTAGAGATTCTTAGCACCTCCCCCCAAGACAGATGGAGCACTGAGCCTCAGTAAAGCTGAGGATGTTATTGTCGGTAGAGGCAGAGAGGGCGGTCATCGTCTCATGCATTTGTTCATAATAGTGTTGAGCTTAAGAGCACAGGCCAAGGAAAAGGAGAGGAATTCTAATTGAGGCTGAGATTCTTACTAACTGGGTGGCCTTGGGCTGTTACTCACCTGTTTTTAGCCTCACCCCTTTAAAATAGGGAGGAGTATCTAGTCTTAAGGCAGTTGTGAGGATCACGCAAGATCATGAGCACATGGGAAGTGTCATTACTTAAAGTTCTTCTGCCTCTGCCTCAGAGGTTCAGATTTCGTTCAGATGCTTAACTCGTTATCCTAATTATGCAGACCAGTGCTTCATAAACTGGCTGATGTCAGAATTGCCTGCCAAAAGTGTAAATGCTTGGGACCCACCCCAGGAAGTTTTGAATTAGGAGGACCTCTTTATCTTAAATAAATTCCCAGGTAATTCTGATGCATAGCCAGGTGTGGGAGAACCAATCTATTAGCATAGACATCTCAGCCACAGTGGGGAAGGGACTCCGGTGGGTCCCCTCTCCAAGTCCCCTTCTCCCGTTTCTTGTCACCGCCAGCACCTCCTCCCCACTGGCTTGTATGTGCTCTCCCTAAATGAAGGTCTGTATGGCCTAGCTGAGTCAATGACAGTGTCCCAAGGAGCCTGTCTTTCCAGAGGCCTGGGAACCCAGCACAGAGCTGGGAAGCACGATGCCAAGGTTTCTGCTGTGGATTTGCCCCCTTGTGACTCACTAGTGGCTCAGGGCCAGTAGCTTTCTAAGCCTCAGTTGCCCACGGTCCACAGATAGTCAGGGACAGAAGAGTGGCCTGTCTGCTTCCTAAGGAGTGTGTCCCTGGCACTTGACTGCCAGAGAGCAGATGGGGTAGAGAGGCCTGGGTAGAGAAAGGGGAAGAGGTGAAAGAATCCTGCATAACTGTGCTTTCTCACTGACGTCTCTCCTTTGATACTTACAGTGATAGGGAATAAAATCCAGCATCTACCTTGGGCCTGTAACATTCTCTGTTATCTGTCACTAGCCTGTGCTTCAATGTTATCTCATAACCCTCCCTCTTTCTGGCCTTCTTGCTGTTCCCTGAGTGCTCCAAGCTTGTTCCCATCTCAGAGTTTTTGCCCTATTTGCATGGCTTAGAATACTTTGGCAATGGATCATCACAAGTCTGGTTCCTTCTGCTTATTCAAGCATCAGCTTACAGGTCACAGGCTCAGAGAGACCTTTGCTAATCAGTCACCAAGTCTAACGTGTTGTCCCAGGCACTGGGACACAACATCCTATAGTATATCATTGAATTTTAACTTTCATCTTAGCACTTGTCATCATAGGATCTAATTTACTTTTTAATTTACTTAATGTGTTGCCTATCTCCCCCTACGGTAGAGTGCAAGCTCCATAAAAGCATATCCTTGGCTGTCTTGTTTATTGCTGTGTCCCTAGTGCTGGAAAAGTGTTCAGTGATTCTTTGTGGAATAAATGAGTTAATGACTTTGCCCCAGAATGAATCGTGATTCCTTTTTCTGATTAGAGGACACCCAAAGTTCTGAGAGAAGTGACTGTCCCCAAACCATTCCAGGCCCTTTGTATTCTTTTTGCAGGTCCTCCCCATAAAACCTGGCTGACACACAAACCGAGCTGGGGTGAGGCTCACAGGTGTGATGAAAGCTTGGAGTTGCCCCATGAATGGGCTAAGACTGATGTGAGGGTGAGAAGGCGGAAGGTCAGAGTGTGTGAAGGGAGAGGCAGGCTGGGACAGGAGAGCAGGGTGTGAAACTGGCAGTGGTGAGGGGAAGGGGGTGACTTGGCTGTGTGTCAGGAAGTGTTTCCCTCCACCGTCCCCTGGGAAGAACCCTGACCCCAAGGTGGCTTTGCTTTGGGGAAGCAGGCTGTCAGGCAGCTGCTGAGGGAGAATAAAGGTGTGGCCTGGGTGGTGACAATCTACTGAAGTCCTAGGCCCAATACTGACCACCAAAAGGAACAATCCCACAGTGGCACTTGGCCAACTAGGTGACAGGTGAGCTTCCTCCTAAAAACCAGCCCAACCACACATGGAGCCTCAGACCTGTGGGAAAGGGAGAGAAAAGAGGTTGCTAAGGAAATGGAACAGTCAGTATAGAATGATTAGTAATAATAATGATAATAATAGGTCACATTTATGACAATATGTCTGGCCCTGTACTAATTGCTCTATATGTGTTCCCTCGTTCAATCTTCATGAAGCTCTCTACAAAGTAGGCATTATTATTATTGTTATTCCCATTTGAGAGATGTGGAAACTGAGACTCAGTGAGATTAAATATCTTGTCCAAGGTCACACAAGCAAAGTTAGGATTCCAGCTTAGATCTGTAGTGATTCCAGGGCATTATGGAAACGTAAACCTGGGGAGAGTTGCTAGGGACAAATTAAGAGGGAAGAGCCCCATTGACCCCTGCAGAAGTGGGGATAGGGAGGGAGAGTGGGATAGACTATGTATAAATAGCAGGCCTGTTTTTATCCCTACACATGGGCTGAATCAGGCAAGCAGCTCTACCTGGCACAATTTGAGGGCTCTGAATGCCAACCCAGCCCTGTGTCATACAACTCCCGTCCCAGCGTGTCCCTGGGAGCTGAAATGCCCACTGAGAGAGTAATTTCTTTGGGTCAGGACATTGACTCCAGAAGACCCCTGTAAAAATTCGTAAGTTGGAAGAAAAACACATCAATCTCCTGGCACCTGTTGAACGTGGCAACCTAGGCTAGCCAGCTGGGTCCTGTGGGAGGGGCCTCAGCTTTTATGTTGGAGAAGAAGGTGGTGTTCAAAGGCAAGGAAAAGTAGGAGGCTTGTTTCACAGCCTGTGTCTCTCCAATCCCAGAAGCCTGGGAATTATACTCAACAGTTCAAAAATCCTAATGGAGACAATGTGCTCTGGGACAAAGATGGGGAGAAGCCACTCCAGTGGCTGGAAGAATACTACTAACTTCCTTTGCTTTTGCTGGGTTGATACCAGGTGCCTGCAACTGCAACTCTGGTAACCTTGGGCTCACAAGACCTCCCGGCATTCATGTGTCTAATTTTAAATGATAAATGAATTAATTATTATTTACTACTTGATTTATCGGTAGGCAAAGAATAGGATTTCTGAAGCTCAGAAGATGACATGGGTGGAGGTCTCTGGTTTAGAGCAGGGATGACCGGAGGGACCAGGCCTGGAAGAGAGGAAGGAATGAGGGGTGTCCAAGGGCGAAGCGCAGCTCAGCAGTCCCAAGGCTGCAGCGTGACAAGCATCTGGGGAAAGGTAGGAGCTGGTCCCTGCCACCTGCCGGTCAGCGGCCCTACCCACAGTCAGGCCGCGGCTGCCCTGGCCTAGTCCCAAAATATGTGAGCACCGCCCCCTTCTCCCGCCCCTTTTCCCAGCCGCGCCCACGGGGTCCGGGGCTGGGCGGCAGGCCCCTGGAGCCGGGCTGGAGTCCCAGCGCGGGAGGAGGTGGGGCGGGGCGGCAGGGGGCGGGGCGGAGTCTCGGCGTCTCCAGGAGCCTTATTCCCGGCCGCAAGCGCGGGAGCGCTCAGTCTACCGAGGGAGCTGCGCGCGGAAGGCAGCTGGCCATACTGACTGAGGCTCAAGGGCTCGGGCGGACGGACAGACGGAGTGAAAACAGAGACGCCCAGCGGCCTCGAGCTCCGCGCAGATCCCAGCCAGGCTTGCACACAGAGGCCGGCAGCAGAACGTGCCCGGCAGGATCTGCGCTCCTCCCACCCGGCTCCCGTGCCAGCGCCCGGTGGCCGCCGCCTCCAAAGTGATTGCTGCCTAGGCGCCTCCGCCGAGTCCGGGACCATGAAGCTGCTGCCGTCGGTGGTGCTGAAGCTCCTTTTGGCTGCAGGTAAGAGGGCTGCCGGGGGTCGGGGGGGATGGGGACGCTCTGCAGGGAACACGGAGGAAGATCGCTGCAGCGCCCCCGGCGCGGGCCACTTGGTGGGGCCCGTGCTCCCTGGCAGGCGGGCGCCGGCAGCGGTCCGTGGCGACGGGGGTCTGGGCGGGGGGTCTGAAGCGGCCTCGTCCCTCACCCGCAGTGCTCTCGGCGTTGGTGACCGGCGACAGCCTGGAGCGGCTTCGAAGAGGGCTGGCGGCTGGAACCAGCAATCTGGACTCCCCTACTCAATCTACGGACCAGCTGCTGCCCCCGGGAGGTGGCCGAGGCCGGGAAGTACTGGACTTGGAAGAGACAGACCTGGACCTTTTCAGAGGTGGGTGTGAGGGATGCCCATCCTCGGACCCCGGTGGACAGTTGAAGAATAAGTGGATCTGGCATTTATGCCGATTGGGCACACCTATGGTTTGGGGATTTTCATGGAGGACCTCAAGGAAAAGACGCTTGGCCTGACAAACTCACTGGGGGGTCCTAGAATGTAGACCCTGTTGTCTTTCTTGCCCAACGTAGTCTCACATGCCACGTTGCTGCCTTTCTGGATACTCTGAGGCAAATTGAAACAGGCAAGGTGTGAGGGGTTGGTGCATTCCTCTGAGGTAAGCTGAGTGATAGGAACAAGGAATGGTTGAGATGCTTTCCTTAGAGTTTCTATGAAAAAATGTGCACAAGTCCTAATTCCCACATCAACTGACTATTATGTAGAAAATAAGGTAACATATGTGGAGATGCTAGGCACATACAAGGTGTGCAGTGTTAGTCTCCTCCATCCACCTGTCTCCAGGTTGGGGAAACAGGGGAATGAGGAACACTTGGTCCCCCCTCAGGTTAGGCCAGCACCTCCTCGGGAGGCTGTGAATGGTGAGCACTGGGTCCCTAGAGAGCTGTATTGATATGCTGGGTGTCTACAAATCCTACACAAGCCTGGATACTTCCTGACCACCTTGAGTCCCTGAGAGAGACTCCAAGGGAGGAAGGGCCAAATGGGATCCTTCAACCAGCAGAGGTGCTGTGGCTAAGTAAATACAAGCACAGAGCAGAGTCCAGAGCCTCCAGTATTGCCTGCTTCCTTGCCCCCAGTCACCTGCAGAGATTCTTAAGGGTGGAGCAGGGACTGAGCCCTGGAGCCCCGGAATGACTATATTTGGTTGGAAAGATACCCACCTGTTCTGGCTCTGTCTGCTCCTCTGCCACCCCTCTTCCTTACCCAGAGTTTCCCTTAGGTGCTATCTCTATTTAGTATACATCAGGGGTCTGCCCCAAAGCTGAGGGTGGGTTCCCACCTTCCATCCTCTCACAGTGGCCCTCTGGGGGTCACTTCTGGCCTGAACAACCTGGATTCTCCTGGCCCTCTCCTCACAGGCAGGGCAGAGCTGGGCTGTGACTCACCCTCCACCCACACAGCTGCTCCTCCTAGCTCTGCAGACCTGACTCACTGCTCCCTCTCCCCGGCAGGAGCCTGGCTGTCACCCTGTCACTCTCTCCCTCCCTTTTCTTTTCTTTTTTTTAATTAATTAATTTATTTATTTATTTTTGGCTGTGCTGGGTCTTCGTTGCTGAGTGCGGGCTTTCTCTAGTTGCAGAAAGCAGGAGCTACTCTTCATTGTGATGCACAGGCTTCTCATTGCGGTGGCTTCTCTTGTTGCAGAGCACGGGCTTTAGGCGTGTGGGCTTCAGTAGTTGGGGCACACGGGCTCAGTAGTTGTGGCTCATGGGCTCTAGAGTGCAGGCTCAGTAGTTGTGCCGCACGGGCTTAGTTGCTCCACGGCATGTGGGATCTTCCCTGACCAGGGCTCGTACCTGTGTCCCCTGCATTGGCAGGCGGATTCTTAACCACTGCGCCACCAGGGAAGTCCCTCTCCCTCCTTTTTCTGATCTGCTGGGCCCTCCTGCCTCAATTTCACCACAGCCATGGTCATTGGTTTCCTCTGAGCATCTGCCTCACCTTCTGAGTTCTGAAAGGGCCTGGGTCTGCACCAGAGGAAACAAGAGTCTATGGGACTACTACTGGCATCTGCCTCTTCTTTTTACTTGGGTTTGCTGGGCAAAGACTATTTTTTAGGTCTATGGATCCTATCACCTAAAATAAATAACTGTTACCATTTATTAAGTGCCTCCTGTATTCTAGGCACTTAACATGTTATTGTGGGTTAATTAATCCTTGCTGCAACCTTCTGAGATAGGAACACCTGTTCTCCACTTTTTACCAAGAGCTCCAGGGTTCAGAGAGATTAAGTGACTTGCCCAGGATCACATGGCTGAAATTCGAGCATGGGTCTGCTGACTTCAGAGCCCATTCATTGTCTCATTCCTGGCTCAGCATCCCAGGTGCTCTAGGCTTGTCTGGAAGAGGGGACTGAGTTGTGTGAGACAGCTTGGTGTGTTGATAAAGAGCACTGGATATGGAGTCCAGAGACCACATTTGAGATCCCAAAGCTGTAGGACCTTGGGCAAGTCACTGCCTTTCGGGACCTCAAATTTTTCAACAGAAAATGGAAAGCCATATTTTTTGAAGTCAGTTCCACCTTGAGGATTCTAGGACTCCAGTCTAATGTATGATGCTCATCCTTCTACCAGACATGTGGCTATAGCCATAGACAGCAGGCACCTTTTTTCTGCTGGAACAGGGGAGGGGAGACTTGTGTCAGACCCCTGGGCTGATGGGCATAGCCCATGATCAGTCCCAGCTGGATGTCTGTGTGAGGTTGTTTTTCCCTTTTTAAGTGTGGAAAGAATGGGGAGAGTTATCATTGTTCTAGTTCCTTCTGATAGTTCTTTACTTTCCATCTTTCTGCTTCTTGTGCACTGTACTCTCCATCCTAGGGAGCTATAAACAGGACATCTGGGGATATATGTAAATGGACCTTTGAGAGAAGTGGTGAGCTGCAAATAGCACACAGAGCAGGGTAAATATTTTGCTTGATGTCAAAAAAGCAAGGCTCTTTGAAATTAGCACACTATTGTAAATCAACTATAGATCAATAAAAATATTTTTAAAATTAAAAAAAGTTAAAAAGTTAAAACAGCAAATCTCTGGCCAGGGGTGGCCTGCTTGCTGTCCCTGAGCCTGGTTCTGCTCTGGGCTCATGGTCCGCTGCTGCTAATGGGTACCCCAGAGGGGACCACCTGGACATGGGCACTGTTCTTATTTTAGGAGCCTCTTCCCTCTAAAATACCCTCCAAGTACCTTCTCCAGAAGCAATTTTTATCCCTGACGCTGTCTTCCTGCAAATGGGTCACTGAGTGTAACATCAGGAAATGAGGCTGATTTAAGGCCAAAATAGAACCAAGTGGGCATGGGGGAGTAGGAGATGAGGATGGACAGTGGGGTGGGGGTGAGGTTAGTAGAACTGCCCAATCAGCTGCAGTTACTCAACAGAAGCTAGCATTCTTAGAATGAGGTCCTTTTTTTTTTTTTTTTTTTAGTGTCACTTGGACCCAGTAGTCTTTTTTGTTTTTTAACATCTTTATTGGAGTATAATTGCTTTACAATGGTGTGTTAGTTTCTGCTGTATAACAAAGTGAATCAGCTACACGTATACATACATCCCCTTGTCCCCTCCCTCTTGTGTCTCCCTCCCACCCTCCCTATCCCACCCCTCTAAGGTGGACACAAAGCACTGAGCTGATCTCCCTGTGCTATGTGGCTGCTTCCCACTAGCTGTCTATTTTATGTTTTGTAGTGTATATATGTCCATGCCCCTCTCTCACTTCGTCCCAGCTTACCCTTCCCCCTCCCCGTGTCCTCAAGTCCATAGAATGAAGTTCTTAAACTGAGTTTATGAAATGCCTTCCTTGGGACACCCCAGCCTCTACTTCCTCCACCACTTTTGGGAGGTCTGCCCAGTCTTCCTTCAGCTCTTGGGAGGCACTGAGCCTAGAGGCCTTCCCAGGCCTCTGACTTCAGGTAGGATCAAAACGTCCTTCCAGACACTGTGCTGTTCTGATTTTTTCCCCTGAGGAAGTCGAAGACTTAACAGGGTACTTTTCTACCGCAGCTGCTTTCTCTTCCAAGCCACAAGCTCTGGCCACACCGAGCAAGGATGAGCGTGGGAAAAGAAAGAAGAAAGGCAAGGGGTTAGGGAAGAAGAGAGACCCATGTCTTCGGAAATACAAGGATTTCTGCATCCATGGAGAATGCAAATATGTGAAGGAGCTCCGGGCTCCCTCCTGCATGTAAGTGTCCCTTCCCTGGGGCTGACTGTTAACAGCTCACTCTTTGTCAGCCTGGTGGCTGTTCCTGGTTGTCACTGTTCCTTGAATTCATAAATCCACCCAGTTTCTTCTCAACCTCTGGGAGGAAGTTGGGAGGAGGGGAAATATTTTTAGTCAGCGGAAGGGGCTCCCCCCAGCATAGGATACAATTTCCTGTGGCGTGGGTTTGTGACGCTCTTTCATCTTTGGGGGCATTTCCTGCTTGCTCAGAAATGAGCACACACTAGGAGAGCTGACACCTGAAGGCAGGTTCTTCATTTCTGCCTCATGCCCTACTCCAGATGGGAGAAGCCAGTAGGAAACATGGCAGAGTGGGGCTCCTGGGTGGAGTGGAGCTCCCGTGGCCTTCTTTCCCAAGTCCTGCAGGTAGGTATGAGGTGCATTTGGATATGTGCTATGCAGGTATGTGTACTCAGACATATGTGCATATGAATGAGCAAATGTGGGTTGATTCTAAGACATGGCAGGACTGTAGAGAAAGCAATCATTGTGGGAGCAGGGAGAAGCCCCTCCTCCCTTCTTCCTCACCCTGGCGAGGGCCAGGAGGTGGGGGACATGGTGGGTATTGACCTTTGGCTATGGGGGTGGGAGAACACTTCCTTTGTGTAAGATTAACGGAAAATGGAACCCAACTCAGTAGGCATCAGCCCCCGGTCAGGCAGCACCACCCCTTCCCTGGGCAGGGGTGTGGGTGGAGAGGCCATGGGTTCCACAGCCACTCTGCTAGGCCAAGCCCAGCAAATGGCTGCCTTGGCAACCCCTCTTTACAATGGTGTGTTAGTTTCTGCTGTATAACAAAGTGAATCAGCTACACGTATACATACATCCCCTTGTCCCCTCCCTCTTGTGTCTCCCTCCCACCCTCCCTATCCCACCCCTCTAAGGTGGACACAAAGCACTGAGCTGATCTCCCTGTGCTATGTGGCTGCTTCCCACTAGCTGTCTATTTTATGTTTTGTAGTGTATATATGTCCATGCCCCTCTCTCACTTCGTCCCAGCTTACCCTTCCCCCTCCCCGTGTCCTCAAGTCCATAGAATGAAGTTCTTAAACTGAGTTTATGAAATGCCTTCCTTGGGACACCCCAGCCTCTACTTCCTCCACCACTTTTGGGAGGTCTGCCCAGTCTTCCTTCAGCTCTTGGGAGGCACTGAGCCTAGAGGCCTTCCCAGGCCTCTGACTTCAGGTAGGATCAAAACGTCCTTCCAGACACTGTGCTGTTCTGATTTTTTCCCCTGAGGAAGTCGAAGACTTAACAGGGTACTTTTCTACCGCAGCTGCTTTCTCTTCCAAGCCACAAGCTCTGGCCACACCGAGCAAGGATGAGCGTGGGAAAAGAAAGAAGAAAGGCAAGGGGTTAGGGAAGAAGAGAGACCCATGTCTTCGGAAATACAAGGATTTCTGCATCCATGGAGAATGCAAATATGTGAAGGAGCTCCGGGCTCCCTCCTGCATGTAAGTGTCCCTTCCCTGGGGCTGACTGTTAACAGCTCACTCTTTGTCAGCCTGGTGGCTGTTCCTGGTTGTCACTGTTCCTTGAATTCATAAATCCACCCAGTTTCTTCTCAACCTCTGGGAGGAAGTTGGGAGGAGGGGAAATATTTTTAGTCAGCGGAAGGGGCTCCCCCCAGCATAGGATACAATTTCCTGTGGCGTGGGTTTGTGACGCTCTTTCATCTTTGGGGGCATTTCCTGCTTGCTCAGAAATGAGCACACACTAGGAGAGCTGACACCTGAAGGCAGGTTCTTCATTTCTGCCTCATGCCCTACTCCAGATGGGAGAAGCCAGTAGGAAACATGGCAGAGTGGGGCTCCTGGGTGGAGTGGAGCTCCCGTGGCCTTCTTTCCCAAGTCCTGCAGGTAGGTATGAGGTGCATTTGGATATGTGCTATGCAGGTATGTGTACTCAGACATATGTGCATATGAATGAGCAAATGTGGGTTGATTCTAAGACATGGCAGGACTGTAGAGAAAGCAATCATTGTGGGAGCAGGGAGAAGCCCCTCCTCCCTTCTTCCTCACCCTGGCGAGGGCCAGGAGGTGGGGGACATGGTGGGTATTGACCTTTGGCTATGGGGGTGGGAGAACACTTCCTTTGTGTAAGATTAACGGAAAATGGAACCCAACTCAGTAGGCATCAGCCCCCGGTCAGGCAGCACCACCCCTTCCCTGGGCAGGGGTGTGGGTGGAGAGGCCATGGGTTCCACAGCCACTCTGCTAGGCCAAGCCCAGCAAATGGCTGCCTTGGCAACCCCTCAGGGATGACGACACTGCCATGCTCTGTGGCAGGCATAATGTCGCCACTGTGCCTGAGACCAACACCCACATCAGGCTGTAAACATGCACTCTCTTCTGCTGGGCCTGAGTTTCTGTGGAGTGGGAACCTCTGTGACCTGGGAGGCTCTGGAGAGAGTCAGGAGATTGCTGTGTGCACACTGCTTCCCAGCCTGTCAAGAAGGCTGGCTGCCTCGCATCTCTTCTGCTGTGATTGGTACAGATCCTTTGGTTTTTTTTTTTAAAGCTTCCTTGTCCCATCTGATCTCATATAGCAGAGTTGCCCTGTATTTGGCAATTGTCAGACAGAACCATCACCCCCCTCCATGTCTACAGTCACTTGTGTGTCCTCTCCTTTCATATCCTTGTCAAGAGTCTGGTATTGGAGGGCGTTGCTTAAGAGTGACCTAGACAGTGGGCGGGAGACGCAAGAGGGAGGAAGTATGGGGATATACGTATACATATAGCTGATTCCCTTTGTTATACAGCAGAAACTAACACAATATTGTAAAGCAATTACACTCCAATAAAGATGTTAAAAAAAAAAAAGAGTGACCTAGACAGTCCCCCAGTTATTCTTCCAGAAGTCTTGAGACAGGGCAGGGAATGTTTGTCCTAAATTTGTAAACTGGCCTCATTAGCACAGGGTGGAGGCAGTGACTCTGAGCGTAGTCAAGATGGACCAAGGCCAGAAATCTGTCTGGGCTGAACTGGTCCAGGGAGTTGGTGGACGGACTTCCACTGCTCAGCTGAGATCCCTTTTAAGGCTTCTCTCCTGGAGAGCTGAGCTTGACTGACCACCTAAACCCAGAGAACCTAGATAATGGTGTCCAGGGTCAAGGTGGCCCTAGGGATGGTGATGGTAACTGTGACAGTGCCTTCCTTCCTTTGCCCTGTAGCTTTACAGTTTACATTTAATATGAGTTGAGCCCAACAGGTCTCTGTTGAGCACCTACTTGGTGTCAGCTATTCTAGGGGACGGGAAAATACAGCCCTGTATTCTCAAAAGCCCTCTGCTGGGTAGGCAGGGCTTGCTGTCTGTACTTGAAAGATGAGGAAACTGGAGCCCAGAAGTAGGAAGTGATTTGTCTGAGATCAACAGCTAAATAAAGTGTGTGGAAACAGGACAGGCGCTCAGGTGCCTGACTTCCGGTCCAACATGCTTTTCATGACCCCACAGCCTGCACTGGGTGCTGGATTGCGTCCTTCTTCCCTGTCTGTTCTTACAGAGTTGGAGCGCAATTTTGCAGAGGGCAGCTATTTTACTAGAGGTCTCCTAAGGCTTTTTCTAATGGAAGAGCATGGAATCTGACGTGAAGACTCTGTGTCTGCTTCCTAGGCAGATTTTCAAGGGGCTGGATTCTGTGTCTGGCTTGGCAGCCTCCTGCCTCCAGCCCTTGGTACTCAGGGCAGCAGGCAGCAAGAAGACACAGAGCTCCTGGTTTGGGAGATTGTGACATCTGGGCACCTACATCTGGGACGCTTTGTGGCTCCTTCTTGCCTCCAAACCCAGCAACCACCAGCCGGGTGTGCCAGGCTGCCGTGGTGAGCTTGAGGCTGGCCGGCTTCCTAAACCAGCCCTCTGCAGCCATCACACACAGGAAAACCCTTTTGTGTCACCAGCCAAAAGTTGCCCTCAAAGAGCAGTTTCCTGGGGCTCCTGATGAGCTGCTGACCCAGAAACTGGCTGCAAAGTTTCCTGTGGCTGGAGGAAGCCTGGGGACAGTTAGCCTGACAAGGACTCAGAGCTGGAAGAGAGACAGGCCTGAAGGCTCTACTTGGCCTCACTGCCCAGATGCCAAGAAGGAATGGCGAGCCCCCTTCTCTCTGGCTCCGTCTGACTTTGGTGCTCCCTTCCTCAGGATATGGGCAGTATCCTCCGGAATCTGATTATATAGTAACTCCCACACATGTGGGACTTGGCCTTTTATTAAGTGCTTTTATTTGTATTATCTCATTTGAGCTTCACAAAGCTCTAGTGAGGTAGGCATTTATTATTCCTGCCTTTCACATGAGAAAACTGAAGCTTGGAAATGCGACCGTAACTTGCTCCAGATCACCTGGCTAGAAATAGCAGCAGGACCAGTCTGGAACTCATGTATTCTGAGTCCCCTGCGCCAGATGGTGCCCCCTCCACCTCCTGGGGTAGGGGTGGAGAAATCCAAGTTGGAAGATGTCTCTGTACTCTAAAGGGCCCTTGCTTCTGTTGTAATACAAGTTCTGAAATGGGCCACAGACGTGGGTAGGAGCAACACATCCCGGTTTGATGGGTCACTGGCTCTGGGCAAGACACACGATCTCGCCCTCACCCTGGGATGCTTGGAATGCTCCTTTCCTGGGGGAGCCAGGAGTTGTCTGCAAAGGGAGGGGGACATGGGTAATATTAGGATGTTTACATTATTATCCTTTTGACTCAGGGTCGGGGTGGAGGGATTATGTAACTGAATTGCGGGACTCTGAGGCCAAGCTTTATTTCTATCATCTGAGTAAGTACCTGTGGGGTTTGAATGATGGGCTGGAAGTGAAAAACAGACTCAATTTCACCTTCCCTCCCCGCAGGAAAGCACAGTCTCTGAAGTCAGCCAGACTGCTGAGTCAAATCCTGGCTCTGCCACTCACTAGCTGTGTAATCTTGGGCAGGTTATCTAACAGAAGTTTGGCCTCGGTCTCTTCATCTTTAAAATGGGGATAGTAACTCCTACTTCATAGAGATGTTTGTTTTTTTCTGTTTTTTTTGTTTGTTTGTTTTTTTGCGGTACACGGGTCTCTCACTGTTGTGGCCTCTCCCGTTGCAGAACACAGGCTCCGGATGCACAGGCTCAGCGGCCACGGCCCACGGGCCCAGCCGCTCCGCGGCATGTGGGATCCTCCCAGACCAGGGCATGAACCCGTGTCCCCTGCATCAGCAGGCGGACTCTCAACCACTGCGCCACCAGGGAAGCCCATAGAGATGTTTTTAAGATTACATGAAATGATCCTTGTAAAGCAATTAACACAGAGTACTTGGCTCATAGTAAGCCTGTAATGTGTGCTATTAATTGTTATTTATCATTCAAGATAACAGTAATAATAACTGAGAGAGCAGAGTCAGACTGCTCTCTGTTTCTGCTCCAGAAACCCATCAAGCCCATCAGATATGTGTTTCCTTGGGGTGACCTACACTGTTCAGAATGGAAAGAATTATGAATTTGGAATTTGGCCCTTCTGCTCCCTAGTTGTGAAACATTTCGCAAATCACTTACTCTCTCTGACCCTAATCGTAGTCTTTCAATATGTAAAAGAGGTTATACCTGCCTACCAGGGTGTTATGAGTCTCAGTTAAGCTAGTCGATAAGGACAGTGTCTTATAAACTGTAAAGTGCTTTGAACAAGTCATTTTCCAGGGGTGCTCCTAAGAGCATCCTCTATGTCCTGGCAGGATAGGGGTCATTGTTTTGTCCACCTGGGCCGATGGGACAGATGCATGGAGAGGCTGGGCAAGGAGCTGTGTGCTCTGCTGTGGGCCTGACCTACATTTATCCTGCAGTGAGGTGGTTCCCCAGAACACCCAGAAGGAGCTGGGAAAGGAAGAGGTGCTGGGAAGGAAGGCAGGGGCAGTCTGGCCCCTGGGTCTGATAGGTCTGCTCCTTGGAACTTTCCCGGTACCTCTCGGCAGGAAGAAGGGATTCCTTGCTCTGAGGAACTAGGTGCCTAACCTTTTCCCCAGAGGATGTGCAGTTCAGAATAGAGGGCCACCGGGTTCTCGGTGCTTCCTTCAGCAGTTAGTGGCCTAAAGTCCCCAGGCAGACAGTGCCACTGCATTCCCTGACTGGGCATTTATGCGTGTGTGTGGGCAGCACACTGAGCTCACCATCAGACAATCTGTGTCTATGACTCTGCCCTGCTGTGTGGCTGTGGGGAAAATAGCTCTGCCTTTCTGTAACATGGGCTCCTACCTACATGAAAGGATCTCTGGGATGCTCAGATAAAGAAAGGGATGTGAGGGAATTCCCTGGCAGTCCAGTGGTTATGACCGCGCTTTCACTGCTTAGGGCCTGGGTTCAATCCCTGGTCGGGGAACTAAGATCCCACAAGCCAAGCCGCGCAGCTCCCCCGCAAAAAAAGGGACGTGAATGTGCTTGTTCAACTGTAGGCACTCCTCAGTCTTCCCAAGGGCTTCCAGGAAAAGTTTTGTGATAGAAGAGGCAGTTGCATCTGATTTATTTCTTGAGTAAGAAAAGCCAAGGTTTTTTTTGTGACATTCTAAAATGTACTGGCAGGACAGCTAGGCAAGAAGGTGTTTTCTTGGTTTGTTTGCTTTGTCCTGGGATGAAGTAGGCCTGATAGCCCAGCGTTCAGAGGCCAAAGGCCAAAATTCAGCTTTCAAGTTGGGCCTTGCACCCAGGGGGAGCTGGGAGTTAAATGAAGGAAACTTGAGAAAAATGACTTCTGGCACAGGAACAGGGCCTATTAATAGGCTGGGCAGTGGCAGAGGGACTGGACGCTGGAAGCATTGGTGGGGAAGGCTGGGTTTATTTCTGGGTCAGAGTGTTGAGGGGCCTCACAAGAGGGAGTGATACTGAATCCCCTCAGTCCAACCCACCAGCTCTTGTGCCCAAGTCCTCTGAACATTTTAACACACATGTAATTAATCATCCACACGTGGAACAATCTAGCCAAGACCTGAAGTCCTCCTTTGCTTTTTCCCTGCCTGGAGTAGGAATTTTGTGCCAGAAGACCAAAGGGAATGAAGGAGGGGAGGGCATGGAGTGAAGGAGGAAGGCCACAGAGCCTTTAGAGGGGCTTCTAAAGAGTCTTGTACTAGAGAAGGCTAGAGGAAGGACAGGAATCACAGTTAGGGACTGACAGGCTGAAGCTGTGAGGAGTGAGCTCTGGCTTATGTAGGTGGCCCGTTGCCAAGAGTGAAGCCAAACCACTAACTTCATCTCTGCTTTGTTCTGTTTTGGACCAGCTGCCACCCGGGTTACCATGGAGAGAGGTGCCATGGGCTGAGCCTCCCAGTGAAAAATCGTTTATATACCTATGATCACACGACCATCCTTGTTGTGGTGGTCGTGGTGCTGTCATCCGTCTGTCTGCTGGTCATCGTGGGGCTTCTCATGTTTTGGTGAGTGTTACAGGCCGTTTTTGCAAATCACTTCTATTCCTCCTCCTCCAGGATCTTCTACCTGATGGTCACATGAGCCCTCTAACCTCCTAAATCCTGGGCTAGGAGCCTGACTAACATTCCTGGAGTTAGGAACCTGGAGTTAAGAACCTGGCTTCTCTGGTATGACATATGTCCAGTGTCTAGAGCCCAGGGAAAAAATTGCCAGGCCATAGGAGGTCCTGCTTCTCACAGCAGGCTCAGCAACCCACCCATGGAGCCACATCTTCACACAGTTCTTTTTCCTGACTCTGTTCTCTGATGGCATTAGGGTGTGATTGGTAGTCAGGGCATGGGTGGTGCTATTGGTATATCCTTCCAAATCTGAGGCGTCTAGTCCCCAGGCCATGCTTTCAATCCAGCTATATTCTAGACTGAGGAGACCTACTAAGCACTCTGTGCCCATTTACAAGCATGCAACTCATGTGTTTTGAGGCCTGGATCAAGTTACCTGTCTTTCTAAGGGTTGTAATCTTTCAGTGATTGTAATCTCTGTTCCCCTACCTCATAAAGATGTTGTGAGGATTGTATAAATGAGGGGAAAGTTCTTAGCAAATTGTAGCCTGCCATTAGAGACAGGCATCCTTTGGGGCAGTTGGACCTTTGGCCAGAGGTCTGTTGAGCTGCCGTATCCTCTGGGCTTTTCCAAGTATGGAGAGAATCACTGGGCCAGAATCTTTTGGAAGGACCAGCTCTGGGACCTGCACCCTGCTGTAGCAGGCAGAGCTTGCTCACAAAACTTACTTTCCTCAGGTACCACAGGAGAGGAGGTTATGACGTGGAAAATGAAGAGAAAGTGAAATTGGGCATGACTACGTCCCACTGAGAGAAACCTGTGCTCAAGGTAATGGTCCATCCTTTGCCCAATGGTACCATCACCACCTTTCCTGGATCTGTTTCTAGGCATGCTGAATTCTTCTCTTGACCTAGGAGTTAGGGGTCAGGCTGCTGTGGAGTCAGGGTCCCACTGCAGAATTGTTTTCAAAAAGGTTCTCAGTGCTGCATCTCCACTTAGGGTGGAAGTTGCTAGAGAGATACCCAAGACCAATGCCTGAGAAGACAGCTTCTCTCGTCCTTGTCTCTTCTCCTTCCCACCGTTGCGGCCCCTCCCGTTGCGGAGCACAGGCTCCGGACGCGCAGGCTCAGCGGCCACGGCTCACGGGCCCAGCCGCTCCGCAGCATGTGGGATCCTCCCGGACCGGGGCACGAACCCGCGTCCCCTGCATCGGCAGGCGGACTCTCAACCACTGCGCCACCAGGGAAGCCCTCTTTTCACTTCTTAAAGCTGGACCCAGGAGACTCTTAAGACCTCTTAAGCTGGATCCAGCTTTAAATGCCTTCTTCTTGTGCTTTAGGAATCAGCTGGGGACTCTGCTACCTCTGAGAAGATACGAGTTGATGACAGACTCTGCAGAGGGGAAGGACTTCACAACTAGCCATGAAGATTCCTTCATCCCCAGTTGCCATCTAAATTGGGCCTCCCATAACTGCTTTGCCAAAATACCAGAGCCTTCAAGTGCCAAACAGAATATGTCCAGTGGGATCTGGGTCAGAAGAAAGCAAAAGTGAGGGACCTTTGTGCCCTTGATTCTCCTCCACCAAGCCCTACTTTTACCCCCATAAGTTTGTTTAAACACTTATCTTCTGGATTAAAATGCCAGTTAGATTCCATATGCTCCAGGATCTTTGCCTGAAAAAAAAGGAAGGAGAGGAAGAAAGACAGATTCAGGGACTGGAAGAAAGTAACAAAGATTGAGAAGCCATGTACTCAACAAGCCACCAAGGGATCTGCCATTTGGACCCTTCAGTGCTGGATTTGATGAGTTAACTGTGAAATACCATAAACCTGAGAACTCTGAATTTTGGAACTTCTACCCAGATGGAAAAATAACAACTATTTTTGTTTGTTTGTTTGTTTGTAAAATGCCTCTTAAATTATATATTTATTTTATTCTATGTATGTTAATTTATTTAGTTTTTAACAATCTAACAATAATATTTCAAGTGCCTAGACTGTTACTTTGGCAATTTCCTGGCCCTCCACCCTGCATCCCCCACCATCTGGCTCAGCATTAGTCTCCTCTGCTGCAAATGTGAGATGGCTCTGTGATCCATCTGTAGTAATCTATTGTCTGGCCACATTTCGGAAGATCTTCTATGATCTGAGTGCCACAGGGGGAGTTCTGTATGGTCAGGATGTAGGAATTAACTTTGTCAGATCCACTCTATGAGTTGGACGGCAGTCTTGCCTAGGCGATTGTGTCTACCGTTTGTGTTTTGAAAGCCCAAGGTGCTGATGTCAAGATGTAACAGATATCAGTATTCCCCTGTGTCCTCTCCCTGCCCAGCCTCAGAAGAAGTTGGGCTTCCATGCCTGCAGCTTTCCTGGCCCCTCACCCTCCACGGGCCCAGGTCCACAGAGTGGGAACTCACTGTCCCTTGTGTCAAGACATTTCTCTTATCCTGCCATTCTTCTGGTGCTACTCCATGCAGGGGTCAATGCAGCAGAGGATAATCTAGAAAAGGTATTAGCAAAGAAAAAGGCTGAGGAGGAACAGGAAACATTGGAGCTGACTGTTCTTAGTAATTGATAACCTACCAATTGTTACAGAGAAGGTTGGAGGTGAGGAGGGCTTTTGTGTAAACCCACCCACCTCACCAAAACTACAAAGGTATGCTGTCGTGGTCCCTTCTGGAAGTTTCTGGTGCCATTACTGAACTGTTACAAACCTGAATTTCCAAACCTGGTTTATATTTATACTTTGCAATTCAAATAAAGATAACCCTTACTCCATAGCCTTCTGTGTGATTGTTTTAACTGGGAGCTAGTTTAACGTAGGTATTTTCTAAGCCCATAAATAGCCCAGGCCTATATATATACTAGCTCAGTATCCCCAACAGCCCTATGTAGGAGGTACTATTGTCCCATTTTTCCAGAATCGGAAACTGAGGCTTGGAGAGGTTAGGTAACTTGCCCGAGGATGAACAGTTGGTAAGTGAGAGAGCTGCAACTGGTAATCTGATTCTAATCATTTGTCTTAGTACTTATATCATACCATCTCTGAGACAGGAGAGAATAGATCTTTCACATAGGAAGTTGGGCTGGCTGTAACCGGGAAAGACATCTGCCCGTTCAGTGGGCAGACCCTGGCATCAGGGCCTATGCTGTCTGTGCAAGCAGGCATTGCTCCTGGAGGAAACAAGTCACCTTTGACTCCCCTCTCATGCTCCACATTCCATCTATCATCTATCAGCAAATCTTGTCAGACCTACCTTTTGAATATATGCTGAATGCAGCCACTTCTCATCACTGTCACTATCATCATCCCAGTCCAATTCACCATCAGCCACGGATTGAAACTGCGCCCTTAGCTGTGAAAGCGCAGAGTCCTAACCACAGGACCATCAGAGAATTCCCTCTTACCCAGACTCTTGTGGTGGCCTCCTGTCTCCTTTCTTCCACCTTACTCCCACATAGCCCATTTCCAGCATAATAGCCAGTGATCATTTAAAACATAATCCAGATCTTGCAGGCCTTCTCTGACTACCCTATTATACGATAGCACATTCCTCTCCCACCCCACTCCTCTTACTCTCATTATTCTGCTTTATTTTTCTTCATTGCCCTCATCACCACTAACATATTCTTATTTGTTTTTGTCTATCTCTTCCTACTAGAATGCTAGCTCCGTGAAGATAGGGGTGTGTACATTGCTCCAATCCCAGATTGTAAAAGAGTGCAATTGAGTTGTAGGCACACAATATTTGTTATGTGGATGAATGAATACAAGAAATGACTAAAATCCAATCCAAGGCCAGCAAGTGGACAGGTATGTGATGCACTGCTGCCCTGGAAGTGTGATTGGGTTTAAAGAAGGGCATTTGCTGGGGAGGATGGATGGGGATGGCAGGGTGAATGGAATTTGGGACAGGTCATGTTGTCCTGGATAGAGTGGAAGCAGAGGCCTCCACTGGGAGGCCGTTAGACAAGTGCTACTGGATGCCCCCTCCGCATCCTCTTCTCTTTGAGAGTTGTGACATTGTGAAGATTCTCCGGGAGCCCACAGAGAGATCTTACATGTACTTTGACTGTCCAAAGCTGAACATATGCATAGCCTATAACCCAGCAATTCCACTTCCAGTGATATACACAAGAGAAATGAGTACATATGCTCACCAAAAGATATGTACAAGAGTGATCTTAGCATTATTTGCAGTAAGTGAAAACTGGAAACTACCCCAATACTCATCAGTATTTGATGATGAAATGAATAAATACATTGTGGTATATCTATACAATGAAATATTAAATAGCAATATGGATGAATCTCACAACATACTGCTGAGTCAAACAAGCCAGACACAAAAGGATACCTTCCGTGTGATCCCATTTATTTAAAATTTTAAAACAGGCAAAACTCATCTATGGGGAAAGAAATTAGGAAAGGGGTTACTATTGGGATTGATAATGACTGGAAGGGGGAAGACAGGGGAACTTCTGGTGTTCTGATAATGTTATATTCTAAGATTTAGGTACTGGCTTCCCATGTGCACCTCACTTTGAGAAAATTCATTGAGTATGATTTGTGCATGTTTCTACAGGTATTAAACTTCAATAAAAAGATTCTTAAAAACTTTGGTAGGGGACTCTTTTGCTGTTTACATTATATAAAGCTCTGTAAAGTACCAATGTATTACTTCAGTAGTCAGAGAAAATGGTACAGAAATAACTCTGGAGCAATGAGTTACTTTGAACTCTTCGTGGGGCTCCCTTTCCTGCCTCTAAGCTTCGAGCCTCCAGTCCTCACTCAGGGCTGGGCTTTTCCGAGCACACTGTTTCTCCAGCTAATGTTTCCTGTGGGTTCTGTGCTTCCTGCTTTTCAGCTGCTCTCTCCTCCTGCCCCCGCTGCTGATAAAAGCTCTCCTTGGCTTCACTGGAGCTCCCCTGGGCATCTACTTGGCTGATACAGTGACTCTGGGAGCCTCTGAACCGGCAGCCACTTCTCAAGATTGGCCAGCAGAAGAGATCGGGCCCTTGTGAGTACTGAGAAACATCTACTTCTTCTCTGTGAGCTTTCCTTTCAGTATCCTTTGAGAGACTTTCTTTTATGATGTACATAGTAATCATTATTAGGTTAATAAATATTTAACGTTCATGGAGTACTCACTAGGTAGGGCCCACTGGGCCAGGAGGTAGGTGCTCTGACTCCACGCATGATGTAGATGCTTAAGGTGAGCGGTAAAGTCAGGCTGTTAACTCGGAAAGTCTGACATCCAAGGCTGTACTCTAACCACTAAGCTACATTCTGAAATGAGTTCTCAGGGCCACACTTGTGTTCTCTTCTTCTCAAATCCAGAAAACATATAGTGAAGAAATTACATGAAAAAGATCTTAGAGAGCAACTCCTTAGAGTTTCTTCTCCTGCCCCAAGGTGCCTTATCAGGGTGCTGGGGAAGGAACAGGAATACAGACTGACACAAACTTGAGTCTGAGTCTAGACTTCACTGTTTACTAGCACGTGGCCTCATGAATGATACCTGACTTCTCTGACCCTTCCTCCCTATCTATAAGATAGACATACTAAAAATATCCACCTGGAAGAGTTTCAGAAATGATATATATGAGCCAAGTGCCTAACTCAGGGTCAGCCACATGTTAGACGCTCAGTAAATGACAGTTATCATCAGCAACCTGTCCAAGAAGCTAATTAGGTGGCACATCCAGGATTGAAACCCAGGCCTCTGATTCTCAATCCACAATACTTTTCTTAGAAACAAGCAATGCTTTTCAATTATTGTTTTACGTTTTAATGGCAGCTTTGGTTT